TGTGTGTGTGTGTGTGTGTGTGTGTGTGTGTGTGTGTGTGTGTGTGTGTGTGTGTGTGTGTGGTGTGTGTGTGTGTGTGTGTGTGTGTGTGTGTGTGTGTGTGTGTGTGTGTGTGTGTGTGTGTGTGTGTGTGTGTGTGTGTGTGTGTGTGTGTGTGTGTGTGTGTGTGTGTGTGTGTGTGTGTGTGTGTGTGTGTGTGTGTGTGTGTGTGTGTGTGTGTGTGTGTGTGTGTGTGTGTGTGTGTGTGTGTGTGTGTGTGTGTGTGTGTGTGTGTGTGTGTGTGTGTGTGTGTGTGTGTGTGTTTTTTTGGAGCCTCATGAGGCAGTCCCTGAAATCCTGGAACCTCCAACTTCCCGTAATAAAGTGGAAGAAATCCATGAATTCCACAATTTTGGGTTGCTATATCCAATGTTTAAGGGTCTTGAGCAGGTATCCGTTTTGGACAAGGTTTCAAAGTAGGGAAGTCTCCAATGTTAGTATCCGTTTTGGGATTGGTGTTGCTATACAATTTTGGGAGTCCTGAGCAGGTATCCGTTTTGGACAAGGTTTTCAAAATAGGGAACCCATTGGTAGTTGAGATTGGTGGTGTGGGGCTCTGCCCAAATAAGCTCTGGGTTGTTTTGGGGCAACTTTCAGGGAGAGTTCAAAAGGAGGGTTCCATCAAATTCCGGAGCTGTTGGGAGCCGATACTAAGGGTACCTGGACCCAAAAAAAAGGAAAAATCGCCTCATAGTTTTGGGGCAACAACCCATTCCTACCTTGGAATTGTGTGGGTCTAGGTACCAGTTCCCTTCAAAATTCGTTATGGCCCCAAAGTTATGGGGTGGTTCCCCTGTTTTTTTGTTTTTTTTTTTTAAATGGGCAGTTGGGCCCAGACAGTTCTTTCAGGTCCAGGTTCGCAAGGTTCGATTTGCCGGCATCACTTTCCTCAGGCCTGGGTGACTTTGATGGTAAGATGAGGCCAGTCGAGGGGAAACCAACAAAAAAAAACATGAATCCGGGGCTCTTTTTTTTGACCGGTACACCAGACGTGTTTTTGTCTTCTCATGGATTCTACTCGACTGGTGAAGTGGCGGCTGGCAGCTTACTCCGGAAGGGCGGGGGGTTTTGGGGGGGGGAACGGAGCCTGGAAAGCCTGGAACCGGTAGACCAGGATACGTTACTGGGCTGTCCGTTTTCAGATCCCCAAGTCGACCACTTGCGGGCGAAATGGAAACCCAAGGTTGGTGCCAACGTTGGAAAACCCTAAAAATCTAGGGGTAGCTTCCATTTCCCCATTATTTCCAGGGATCCGTCTTTCTAGAAAACCACCAAAAACCCTGGGGGAAAGGCTGGTTTTTGAAAAGAACGATGGCTCTCAGAGGATGGCTGGGAGCCACCAAGTTGAGTTCCGGCCGGCCTGTCTGCACCGGCCTCCGCCTCTTCTCGCCATTGCTCTCCTCGCGTATTCGGCCAAGGTCACTCCAGTAAAAGTTGATCAACTCACCTCTGGGCTGCCCGTTTTCTGATCCCCGCGCAAAAGGTTTAACTTCTAGTGGGTTAAATGGAAACTACCACTAAAAGGCTAAAAAACTAAGGAACCGGATGGCTGGGAACCCGCAAGACCTAAGTTATGGGGCGCAGAGCCTTTATTCCCCCTACCTTAAGGTGGAGGGGGGTGGGGGGTCCGGGACCCAATTCCACTTATCTAGTCTTCCCTAGAAGAGGGAAAATGGAAGCATAAATGGAATTTCAGGGGTCACCCCCCTCCCCCAATTCCATTCTTAAGGGGGTGGGTGGGAATGACCCCTTTTTGTTGAGGTACCTGGACCCTGAAAATACTCCGATAAACATGCGTTCTGGCAACCCAAACTTATGGAACTGGCAAAATATCCGCTTTTCCAATTTCAAAGGGTCTCAGCATTAGGGGGGTGTTCCCTCCAAAAGTGGTCTGAATCCCCACTAAAAGGAATTGGACACCCCCCTATTAATCAACCAGGGGTTTATTAATCCGGGGTTACCATTACCCAAAATTACGGGTCATTCCTGTTTCTAGGGGTCAGAAGGTAGTTCTCTCGGTAGTTCTCTCGGGTGGGAAGAACTGTGCGCTCGTCTTTGCCTTCTGAAAAGGTTACGCCCCGGATGATAAGGTTACGTCCCTGAGTAGTGGGGGTTCGGACTGTAGGAGTCTCCACCCCCAGCCCCAAATTTGAATCTTCTTAAGGATTCTGAATCCGGGGTCAACATGGCTGTGGGTCAAAACCGTTTTGGGATCCCATTTTGGGCTAGGTGAATTCACCACCCATTTTAGAACCTATTTTAGTGGTTGGATTGGGATGTTCACTGGGGGTACGGGCTTTGGATTTTGACCCATGGCCACATTACTAAGCTCTGAACCCCTGGCTAACCATTTTTCCACGAGAAACCTCCCGACTGCGTCCTGCCAAGCTCGGCTGCGGGAGCTGGTCAGGGGCGGGGCGTTGCCGAAGATGTAGTCCTAGGCTCCCGCGAGTCAGGTGGCAGTTGATAACAGTTTTTGTTTAAACACAAATTGAAAACTGATTTTTGTTTGTTGCATGATGTTGAAAATTGAAAACCTTATATAGGTCAGTTTTGTACTAAGAAGGGTGAATTGGAAAATCTCAAAAACCTCTCCGAACATCTGATGTTGCCCGGGCTGCCCGTTTTCTGATCCCCTGCTAAAAGCTTAACTTTTAGTGGGTGAAATGGAAACCCAACCACTGAACACTAAAAGTCTAAAAAGCTAAGGAACCGGATGGCTGGGAGCCACCAAGTTACTTAGAACTATGGTTGGTGAAATCCCCTTTCGACTCCAAATACCCCCTGCCTTACTTAGAATTGCCGTGGATGGACGGAATCTTGCACCACTTTGAAACCACTTTGCCCAGCTCGGCTTAGGATAAATAAGAGGATTAACATCGTACCCTTACCCTGACAGGATGGAACCTGAACCCGAAAAAAATGCACCACCCAGAGGCTCCAATTCGATTGATCTAGGGCCTTCCAACAACCTGGTTTTGTGACCCCCAACCACCGGTTAGCAGGGTGTCTCATGGAGGGGTCGGGTCTTCCATTGAAAGCCGAAGCCGATCGCAGCCTCTGGGCAACGAGAATGGTGGGTTGCAAGAACCCTGGCTTATAAAGTACCAATCTTGAGGCTCGGTCTATGTGAAAGGATGAAAATGGCGCCTGCTTTCAGTTCCCTTTGGGACTATCCCATACTAACCTTCTACCAGGGTTTTGAGGACGTGGCTCAGGCTGCCAAAACCCACAGTCCCAGAGTCCCATGCATTGAAAACTCCTAAAATATGGGATCGGGTTCCGAAATCTGATGCTTGCAGAGTTTTGAAGGCCTTTCAGGTACATCCTAAATAATACGCCGGTATCCTTCGTGTTTCTTCCTTGGCCGTCGTGAACGATGGCACAGTTCCAACCCATTTGAGTCGCAATCAAAACCTGGCACAAAAATGGTCGACCCAGAACCATGTAAAGAATTAAGAAGGCGGCTGCAATTATTTCTGGTTGGGATCGTCCCTTACTAACCTTCATCTACCCGGGTTTTGATTGTGGCTCATTTGGGTTTGGCCTCTTCGAGTCAAGGCGCGGGCGGGCCCCGCAAGCAGAGACACAAAAGTCTCCCGCCGTGGTCGAACTCTCAAAACCTCCCAAGTGGCTTGCCAAATTTGGCTCCCTCCAGCGGAATCTGCACTTACACTTTTTTCTGTCGTCTATTTTAGTAGGGGAAACCTCCCCCGGAAAAGAGGAGAGAAGGGCGCTACTGGGGGACCTGGACAAGGAAACCAACAGAGCAGAAATCGCAAGTCTTGTGGCCTACTTTGACACCTGCGGACAGCCTTTAGCTTCGCTTCGAATCCACCTCGGCCCGTCTTGAGGGTACCTGGATGCTACAACTGCTCATGAAAGAGGACACATCAACAACCATGCCATAACCCATGAGTATGGAATTTTTGGGCTTCAGGTAGTGTTTGCGTCTGGGAACCTCAACCAAAGGCGAACAAGTTGAGTGGTTCAGAGATCTGTCAGGGAACCAAAAGATCTACCTAGAGTCTCCATGACCATTAAGAAATGGGGTCATTGCCCAAAATTAAGGGGTCATGACCCCTTTTTCTAGGGGTCATTGAGACTCCAGGTACCCACAAAAACGGGAGTTGACCTCCCGGAAGCTTTTTCTTGACGTCTGGGGCCCCCGGGCCGCCATGGCGTGCTTGAACTGGCCCTGGAACGCCTTGGCCTGAGGCGAATGGAATTGGCGCATGGGAGCCGATTTTTTTGACGCGAAGACGTGGCCCTGCGGCGAAAAAAGGAGCTTAACACAAGAACATGTCCTCCATAGGTGTCCGTTTAGGGGAAATAGGTCCTGCATAGGTGTCCGTTTTGGTTGGAAGTAGATGGATATCCCTGGTAGATGAGAAAAAAACCACCAGGTAACCAGGAATCGCCATCGATTTGTTCTGGCAAAACAACCAAAAAGGACACCTATGGTGTCCACCTGCACCCGGAAACTATCCACTGGAAAAAACGTTGGAATTCACCAAGTCCATCATATTGAGTTGCTAAAATTCCACTTTTTTTACGCGAAAACCATTCTTTTCAAGGGTATTATTTTTAGATTTTGGTATGTCCAGTGATTTCCCCTAGCCAGGCGACAAATGAAAGTATGGTCATTTGGCTGTGGGTCAAAAATAGGTTCCCAAAATGGAACCCTGATAAATGGAACCAAGGACTAAAACCTGCGGTCCCCTTGTGGCTTAATTTGACCGGTGCCAACGGCAGTTCATCCCAAGGACCAAAGTGAAAGTGCGACGCCGTGGCCAGGCAAACGCGTCCAGACGCCCGTCCACCGGCATGGGCAGAAGCTAATCGCTTGGTTGACGATGGAAGGGGAGCAAAAAAGACTAAATTTGCGCAGTTCAGTGGTTGGATTTCAACCACTAAAACACAATAAGCAACAATTTGCAACATGTTTCCCAACAACCATGAAGACTAGGCTGTCGATCCCAACTTCTTTCGTCTGCCTGGACCCTCGAACTACCCATAAGAAATGGGAGCTCGCCCCAGAAGTTTGAGCTATCACGCCAGAAGTTTCAAGGTTCATCCTGCACGGTGGTTAGGAGCCGCTACAGAGACTCTAAACATCACGAAGCCTTCGATTGGAAGGGCCATAGACGCCACAAGATGGCCGGGAGCTGCATTGGGCTCGGTCTTTGAGTAACTCCACTCCCTTGATGAGATGTGGCCTGAAATTGTCCCGACCCAACGAGTTTCAAAGCCTAGCGGTTCAGCGAGTGAGACCTGGATCCTCCAGTAGAGAGGTTAGAATAAGGGTACCGTCTTTTTCTGTAGTCTGTTTTAGTAGGGTTTGGAACCCTCCCCCAAAAAAGAAACGGTTAAAGGGGCACCTAGCTGAGGGCCCTAGAAGTTACAATTTTGAGGGCACAACCAAGCCGCAGCCAGGAGACGAGGGAAACATGTGAATCGACATGTCCCCCCTTTCGGCGCTCCAGATTGGAAGGTCAGGGCTCCACTCCTTTTTTTCCGCAAGGTGGGTTTGCTTGGTTAAACATAGATGGTTCAAAAACCCTGGGGAAAACCGGCTGTTTTTGAGAAGCTGCTGTTTTTTTTCCCATGCACTCCAAGCCCCAAAAACCGATCGCAACAGAGACTGAAAAAAGTGACCGCAACTTGGCTATCTAGGCACTCCTTTTTTTTTGCAAGGAGGCTTTAAAGATCATCCTGGCCAAATCAAAAGCGAGTCTCCTTTTGGGGAACATAGGGAGGCAAAAGGAAGACTTGGCGCGTCTCGGCTTGGGACGATGTTTCAGCCCAACCCGAAGACCTTGAGGCCTTGAGAAGGTCAAAGGATGTACCTGGCCCCTCAGAGTTCGCTGAATATTTGGGAAATTGCAACCCCCAAGTATGGGAATTGGTGAGGGTGAAAACTGCCCTGGGATACGCCACACGGCCGAAAAGATCATAAGGCAAGAAAGGACACATTGTTGAGGTCTTTGCAGAGAAGAAAAGGACAGCATGTTGAGGAATCTGCAATCGACGACCTGGACCCTCAAATTCCCACATTATGGTTGGTCTAGGTCCTCCAGTAGAGAGGTTAGAATAAGGGTACCCTTTTTTTCTGTAGTCTATTAGGGGAACCCTCCCCCCAAAAGAAACGGTAAAAGGGCAATACTGGGGGACCTAGTGGTGACTTCCAGCTTTTTTTATGGGTGGTTCTTTCGAGTGCAGGTTGAGCATTCTTGGGTCTGCTCTTCAAACATCCTGCGCACCTGGGGTCAGCTCTGAACAATCTGTTCTAGAAAACGGGTCTGGAGGTGGCGAATCTGTGCATCCGCCCCTCTAGGACACTGTGGATGGACGAAATCCTGCACCACCCAACAAAGCTTGGGATGATGATTCCCCTGTAAAAAAACCAACAAATCATTGTGTCAACCATTGTTTCAAAGTGGTGCGAACGGATTCCGTCCATCCACAGTATTTAAAAAAGCACTAAAAGAGAGAGAAAAAAGAAGAAGAGAAAACAAGCCGGCGAAATCAAAACACAAAGCGCTTATCCAAACCGTTTTCTAGATCTGTACACGTGGGTGCTTTCTGGGTCCCTATTCAGGACATATCCCACGAAAAGAAACTGGACACCCCCAATAATCAACAATCCTGGTTGCATAATTGGTTGGTAGCTGGGGTTGCTTGGCTTATAAAGCCATAGTTGTGACCCACTACCTGCCACTTATTTCTGGGCTGCCCTCAGATCTCCTGAAAAAATGTCGATAACTATGATAACTTTTCGGTCAAAAACAACTTCACCAAACCCACTGAAACACCGGGCAAAAGCCAAGTCGAAGCCGTTGGAGCCACCCGGCCCCCCGCCTGCGGCTCGGCGCAGAGCTCGTCCGCGGAGGCCCCCTGCTCTTTCTTCGCAAGGCACTGCTCCTCGCTTCAAAGCGCCTTTCTTTTTTTGTGCCATCGCCAGTTGCGATCGCTTCTGCGATCGGTTTTGGGGGTAAAGTGGATGGACAAAAACGATCGCAACTGGCGATCCAGGTAGGTCTTTTTTCGAGGGCTCAGGGAGTTGGGAGCGTTTGAGTAGCCGCATAAGTTTATAGGGCTATAATCCACCTGGATCGCCAGTGGCGTTTTCGCTTTTGCTCTTTTCCATGCACTCAAACCCCCCCGAAAAGAAAACCGATCGTGTTACAGTGACTGACAAAAGCGACCGCAACTTGGCCCCGGAAAAAGAAAGAAAGAAATCAAAAAACAAAACCACGATGGCGCGATCTAGGAAAGGAAGACCTTAAGGTGACCTTAAGGGGGCCTTAAAGGAGAGGGCCTTGAAGTGGGCCCCGACCTAGGGGGGGCTTGAGGCTGGGGACCCCTTCTCCGCCCCTTCCAGGGATCCGGATCTTTCTAGAAAACCTCGAAAAACCCAGGGGACACGGATCCGGTTCTTGAAAAGAACGATCCCAGATAGCCAAGTTTGCGTCAGTTTCTTTCAGTCACTGTTGCGATCGGTTTTGGGGTTTTGAGTGCATGGAACAAAAAACAGCAACTGGCGATCCAGGTGGTCGGAATGCTTGGATGTGTTCAAGCTGCCTACGTCAGCCTGGATCGCCAGTTGCGATCGCTTTTTGTCCATCCACTTTACCCGAAAAAAACAAAACAGCAACAGTCAACAGTGACTGAAAAACACAGCAACTTGGCGATCTAGGAGGTAAGTAAGTTGATATTACCACGCCGCTTTTAATTCCAAGCAACCAACCAGATACCAACCAGCTACCTTCGGGTACAATTAGGTTATAACCTACCTGACGAGTGAACATGGCGCGGCAAGGTGCTGAAAACGACTTGGCGACGAAAACGCATGGGGATTTGGACTGCCCCCGACACGGGCCGCTTGGGCTGCATGCCTGAAGGGACAAACCGAGGGGCCCGGGAGCTGCGTGAGCAATGCCCAGCATCTGTTGAGGCCCCGTGTGCCTTTCATGACTGCTTTGGGATCCTAGCTGCTTGGCTTTGATTGGACCCTCCTGGATAGCCAAGTTGCGGTTTGTGTTCAGTCACTGTTGCGATCGGTTTTTGGGGTAAAGTGGATGGACAAAAAACGAAATCGCAAAAGGCGATCCAGGCTCCGTTAAAGCAATGGTTGGGTTCTTTGAAGCCATCGCCATTGTTCACCCTGGATTCTCATCATCCAAATCGGGTCCCCTTGCTGGCCATTCATTTTTTTCACGGCGGAACGGAACCCCAGCTGCGCTGTCCGTTTTTTGAGATCCCCTGCCCAAAGTCGACAACTACCTGGATCGCCAGTGGCGATGGCTCCTTTTCCATGCACTCAAAACCCCAAGAACCGATCGCAACAGTGACTGAAAAAAGCGATCGCAACTTGGCAAAAGTTAAGCTGAACCGAATGGCTCCCCAGGCCACTAAGCTAGGCTAGGTCCTGCAGTAGAGAGGTTAGAATAAGTTGGTACCAACTCTATTCTGTCGTCTAGTAGGGTTCGGAACCCTCCCAACCAAAAAAAAGGAACGGGTGAGAAGGTTGGCACGTCGCGCCTAGCTGCTGGGGGAGCCAGTAGTTGACACTTCCAGACCTGGTTGCCGGGCCGGTCCTTCTCTTGCGGAGACTCGTAGCCATAGAGGGAGTCCGCCGGGTGGCTGTAGACACCCCAGAAGGGTCCGAACCTATTCGGCCGTGCCCCGATTCGGACATCCGAGCTCTCCTCGAAAGGGTACCTGGACCCTTTTGATACTCAATGAAAACGGGAATTCACAGGTTTTTGGGGCTAGAACCCGTGTTTGAGGGAATTGGACCCTCCAAAAACCCATACAAACTGGAGTTCACCATATAATTGTTAGGGCTAGACGGCATTTTTAAGGTTTAGAATTTGGAGGGTTTTGGCATGTGTTGTTTGAGTGTACCCTTTTCACCTTGATTTGAGGAACTAAAAGCAAAACCACGGTTTTGGGGTTCCCCGATTTCTGACACATACCCGAAAGGGCCATTCAAAGGAAGTCCCTAAATCACATCCCTCCCAACCAACATGGGAGTGCTAGCACGGTTTATAACTACCAAGACAAGAAACAGGATGGGGTGGAACAATTTCAATATCAGAAACCATGCTCCACAGCAAGCAAATTGCAAACGATGCTTACACTGGCTTACACTTTGTTCTTCTTCTTCTTCTTCTTCTTCTTTTTTTCCGGATGCATGGCTATCCGGGGCCACCGCACCAACCAAAAGCGTCAAACAGGACCCTCCATAGAGGCCTTCTAGGTCCTCCAGTAGAGAGGTTAGAATAAGGGTACCAACTTTATTCTGTAGTCAATCTTAGTAGAGGAACCCTCCCCAAAAAAAGAAACGGTAAAAGGGCATTGTTCTGGTGTGTGTGTGTGTGTGTGTGTGTGTCCGCTGCCAAGTTCTGCTCGTTGTCCAGGAGAAAGCTGGGCAGATCATGCCAAATCAAGGCTTCCGCTGATTTCAGTCGCTTCCGCTCAAAATCTGAAATGAGTGCCCCCTAAAGAGTGACCAAATGGAAGACCTAAAAATGTCAGGGTAACCCAAAAAATCCCTTGAAGGGGCTGGCTTATGTGCCATGGTCGAAACTCGTTATATGGCGTCATAGGTGTACCCCTTTTTAGGGGACCCACACTGGTGTTTTTTCCTGTTGACTTTCCTTTAAAAGCAGATAACACAAACAGATGGCCAATGGTCTTGGCTCCCTTCACGGGAAGCATTGCACATCTTTAGGATCTTTACTTCCAGACGACCATCTCCGGCAAAACCCCAAGCTGTCGTTTGACCATGCCACATCTGATTAAAAGGGGTCTTGCAGACAATACAAAGCCAACTTGGAGGGCCCATCCAATCGATCGGACTCAAGGAAACAGAGGTCTTGCTTTTGGGGGTTGAGCCCAAGAGCGGCGCATAGAGGCACTGCATTGGATCTTAAGTCTCCATCTTCTCCATCTAGGTCCTCCAGTGGAGAGGTTAGAAGAAAAGTACCTTTTTTTTCTGCAGTCTATTTTTTGGTAGGGGACCCCTCCCCAAAAAAAAGAAAGGGTAAAAGGGCGCCAATTGCTGGGCAACCTAGCCATGGCTTCTCCTCCAAACCCAAACCCGGCCGCACCGGCCGCTCCGAGCGCTTGCTCCGATGGCCGAGGCGCAGTCGGCACTCCTTGGTGCTGATGGAATTGGCGCTGCACATCGAGTACCTCGGCTCGGCGCTCCGTTTGGCGCTCGCTCTGGGCCCGGCTCTTCGACGTCGGACGCTGGCAAGAAAGACGCTGACCCCGGATCAATAAACCCCTGTTGATTAATATGGGGGGTGTGTCCCTGGCTTTCGTGGAGAGTTATCACTTTTGGAGAGTGGAACACCCCCATATTAATAAACAGAAATAACACGTGAGCTGGTTTTGCCACTGCACATAGTATGCCTGGATCGCCAGTTGCGATGTTGTTCTTCCATCCACTTTACCCCTAAACCGATCGCAACAGTGACTGAAAAAAAACAGCAACTTGGCTATCCAGGTGCCTCTAAATCCAAGTCATGGGACAACACCCCTCGCGGTTTTCAGCCCTTTGAGTTCCCATGCCGGTTGCGAAAATCCAGAGCCATTGTGGTTTGGATTGGTGATTTGGGGTTGCTTTGGACCCAGAAAAACGTGAGCAGGTTTTGCCACTGTACATTGCATGCTTTTCCAGGCAGGCTCACGAAAATGCAGGGCTCATGTGAATGCCTTCTTGGGAACCTTCCACTGGCTCCGTCCGGGTTGAAAGGCTTCTGCAGGCTTGCTGGAAAAGAGGCCGAAGGGGCGAGAATGGTTGCGCCCAAGAAACCCTGCAAATGATTCGATGCCCCCGACGTAAATATCACCAAACCATGGTTTCAACCACGGTTTCAAAGTGGTGCGAACGGATTTCGTCCAACAGTTCCACAGACCAGCCATAGAGGTCAATGGAAACCTTTGCTAGGTCCTCCAGACTTGAGAGGCTAGAATAAGTTGGTACCAACTTTTTGCTGTAGGCTATTTTAGTACCTGCATCTCTTGAAAGTTAATAATTCCCACTCCAAAAAGAAAAAAGTACTTTCTTCCATGCTGGAGTGATAATTTTCACTCCGTGTTAAAATGCCCGTTCGGGTAGTTCCGACTGCTTAGGCATCCGTTCGGACCCGTTCGGAACCCGTTCGAAACCCGTTCGAAACCCGTTCGAACCCGTTCGAACCCGTTCGGACCCGTTCGGACCCGTTCGGACCCGTTCGGAGGTACGTAAAAAATACGCCAACATTACGCAATAAGCCTTTGATAATTTATGTGCAGTGCTGATTTATGAACACTTCGCTGGTAGTGAAAATATCCGTTCGAGAGTAGAAATACCCGTTCGAAAGTGGAAATACCCGTGTCCTCAGGCCAAAAAGTACTTTTTCAATTTTGGAGTAGGAATTCTTAACTTCCAGGAGATCCAGGTAGGCTCCCAACCAAAAAAGAAACGGCAAAAGGGCACCAATTGCTGGGGGACCTAGTTTGGGGTAAGGCGCATGAAGTCCTTGATCTCCATCTTGTCCTCAGTGCCAAAGTGGATGAAAAAAAGCGATCACAACTGGCGATCCAGGTTGCCACTTTTGGCGGTCCCCAAAATGGAGATTGAGGGACCCCAGAACCATCCAATATGTTTGTGCGGGTTCTAAAAAAAACAAACAGGATGGTAACTACTGTGGGAAAACCAGGTTGTTCAACTACCTGGACCCGAAAGAGATTTACACATGAAAATGGGAACCATGTGTTTGATGCGATATCCAATTGTATAAGCCTGGATAGCCAAGTTGCGATCGCTTTTTTCAGTCACTGTTGCTGGTTTTGGGGGTTTTGAGTGCATGGAAAAAAGCGAAAACGCAACTGGCGATCCAGGAGGGTCTTGTTGGGGGGGTCCCGGTAGCCTCGGTTCGAGGGACCTCAAAGTCTTTATAAGTCGCGACCGAATCTGAGTTAGGTATCTTGAGTTACGTGGCCAACGCCTGGGTGAGAAAACCCACGAGTGATTGGATTAACCTCGGCTCATAAGTGGATTTCAACCTACCTAGATACCCAAGTTGCAGCTTTTTCAGTCACTGTTGCTGGTTTTTGGGGCAAAGTGCATGGAAAAAAAACCATCGCCAGTGGCGATCCAGGTAGGTTCCCAACAACTTGCTAACTTGGCCGAACATCAAAGTAGGCAACACTCAACCTACTCCGAAGCCTGGATTCTGGGTTTTGTCCGAGAGCCGCAAAAGGCTGCCCCAAAAGGGCATGGACAATTCACGCTCCAATTCGATTGTTGGGGCCCTCAAATGGGTTCCTGGACCCTCAAAACTCCAACTGAAAAATGGGTTGTTGCAACCCAAATTTATGGGGTGCTATCTTTGAATGGGTAGTTTGAGGGTCCAGGTTGTTGCCCAGGGTTCCTTGAGGAATTGGATCTCCAGTGTCCTTCTGACCCATCCAAAATGGGGCCACAACTACAACCCTGAAAATCATGTTCAATGGGTCAAAAAGACTCCAGGTATTTGCACATGTGGTTTCCCTTCAAACCCAAAACCAACAGGGAAGTTCGCCCCATAATTTTGTGGCCAGAACCCATCTTTCAGGGAAGTTTGAGGGTTCCTCCAGATGTGTTTTTTTTGTTTCAAGTGCTACGTAATCCTTAAGCCAATGGCGTCCGTTTTTTGGAGGGTACCCGCCAAAACGGATTTCAGGTTTCCTCTGGATTTCCCTCCACCTCAAAAACAAAACGAGCTAGCCTGGTATGGCAACCAACTCCGGTTCTTGCACCCCCTAAACAGATGAAGAGAAAAGCCACACAAACTTGATCCAAGCATCGCGAAGAAGGGGCACCATTCACCTCTAAACCAACAATGCCAGCCAGATTCATTTCAGCCAATGTAACTCTACAACTCTTGGTATGGGCCAATGCAGCACACATATGATTTTGCAGCCCCCGGCTTAAACAAATGAAGATAACCAAAAACCGAACGAAACAACTTCATCCAAGCACAGTGTAGCAATGGGTACCTTTGCCTCATAAAGAAGGACAACCAAAAACAAGGCAGCCATATTCATTGCAATAAAATTGCCGCCCCTACCAAAACTGAAGAGAACAAACAACTAAAACCAAAAAACTGACCAAGAGCAGTGAACCGAAAACAGCAAGGCAGCTTTTGCTTGTTGCAGCCCTACCAAAAAAAAGGAGAACCAAAAACTAAAAAAACAATACCAAGACTCAGATGCCCAGTGGCCATGGGAAAAACCAGGCATCCTTTCTTTGTTGGTTAAGTTGAAAGGAATCGGAACCCTTCCCCCAAAAAAGTTGAAACAGGGAGCAACCCACTGGGCAACAGAGAGTAACAGTGGCCACATAGGTGTCCTTTTAGGGGAAATAGATGGCCCTGGTAAATGATTGAGCAAAACAACCAAAAAGGACACCCATGGTTTCCAAAACATGCCCTTAAAAACCGAGCGTATTTGCAGATGACGTCCCCAGGTGTACCCAGTGACTCAAAAAAGTGACGTTTTAAGGGCAGGTCTTTCGGGTCCAAATGCCTGGCCACTCAAAATGCCAACCATTGCCAACCCAAACATGGATGCCAACCTACCATGCCAACCCGAGAGTAGTGATGACCAGATGAAGCCATGGGCTACTGCGCGCCGCGGCTCCGACTGGAGGCAGTTCTCAGTGACGCCGTCCGTCACCGGCGGCTCCGTCTCCACCCGGTTCTTGCCGCACCCGAAGTACCGCACCACGCGGTTCCTGAAACGCGGGGGGGGGAGGTTTGTGGGGGGTGGGAGGGGTTTGGGGGGGGGGGGGGCTGGGAGGTTTGTGGGAAAATTCGGAGGAGGGGGCTGGGAGGTTTGTTGCGGGGGGGGGGGAGTTGGTTCAAGGTACAGTCAATTAGAGGGATGGATTGGATTGGGGGGTTTGGGGGCCCTGGGCGGGGGTTGAGGGTTTTTGCCCCTGTATGTCGTCCCCAAACCAACCGACCAAGGAAATGATCAGCATCCAGTTGCATCTCAGCTACATCCAGCAAACTGTTGGGTTGAAAGATGTACCTGGACCCTCAAATACCCCCAACAGGGATCCTTACATTGTACGCCTGAACATAGCCATGTTTCGAATGGTTGCAAAATGGAGATCTTTTAAGGAGCCCTGCTCAAACAAGTTGGATTTCACTCGCCATCAGGCAACGTAGTCCCATGTTCTCTGGTGTGTTGAGGCTCCGGGTAGAAAGAGAATCAATAAATCAAACGCCTGAATCGCGTTGGGTTTTTGTAAGCCAAAGGGATCCTGCCCGAAGCATCAAATTTCGGACCCTCCATTGAAGGGGTCGTAAGGGTGCTGATTGACTTTGTACCCTCAAAATGGGTTGTTTTTGAGGGCCCTGGAGGGGTGGGGGGTCTCCATTGCAGGGCAAAATCAGGGGAGTGCATTGGAGGTTCCTCTCGGGGATGTTTGGCATGCGTAGCCAAAACTCTCCAACGCATCCCGCGTGGGTTGATTCAACCCCCAGTAAAAGAATGGCCCGAATTGGGACCCAATTTGGACAGGGATCCTTAAATTATACACCTAAACATTGCAACTTATACACATGGTGGTTTCCCTTTATTTTGGTGTTGAAAAGCCACATGTTTCAAATGGATGGTTGCAACATGTGTATCTTTTAAGGTGCCCAATTTGGATGATCAATGACAATCCTGAAAAGTAAAAACATTTCGGGAAAACAAAAGAGAATCCAGTAGTGATAGATTCCCTTTAAAACCAACCAGAGGACAATACTCTTAAGCAAGTGGAAGAACATGGGTTGTTGGAACGGGGGGATCCTTGAAGGCCATTTGAGTCATAATCACAACCCGGTACTAAACTAGTCCACGCCGAACAATCTAAAGAATGAAGAAGGCGGCTGCAACCATTTATGGTTGGGACTATCCCTTACTACCCTTCATCTTCTCGGGTTTGATTGTGGCTCATTCATTCCCCTTTTAAAGGGCTCCCCTGTCAGGTTCCGTGTTAATTGGCGGGAGGGCAATATATTCATGATTAGAGTTAGGCATAGTTATAGAATGTATATTTTATTGTTTGCTTCAATTTGAGTCACTGGTAAAGTGTAAAATGGATCCTAAGTCAACCCCAGTATTCTCCTCTTCTTCTTTTTTTTTTTGGGGGGGGGCGGATCCCCTAAAAAAAGACGAGCCACCCTTAACTGGACTTCCAACACCGCCTTCACCCCGCGACACAAATCCCCAAATCAATTCCAGGCCTGTCCCGGCCATACTTCCCCGGCATCTCCTCGTCGGGCCGCGCGCAGGCCCTGGAAAAAAACAAACTTCAAAGGAAGGCGACAGCGGCCGAAAGTGGGTCGCAAAGCTTTGGACCTCCCACTGACTCTCCAGGGAAAGAGGGCTAGGGTTCAAGGAACCCAGAGGGGATTTGTGGGAACACATGTCAACTTGGCAGAGACCAGATATTCTAGGGCTTGATTCCTGGCCCATTCTTTTTGAGACCATCCTTCTTTCCTTACAAAACCGGATCCGTTGTCCCAGCTCTTTGGGTGTTTTTTTTTTTGTAGAAAGATCGATCCCTTTTGTTGGGATGCTTCCATTCGCTTCAGACCCCTGGCAAAAAAAAAGGGCAAACATATCCAGTAGTGATAGATTCCAACTCTAAAACCAACAGGGGAAAATCCAAATGTTCTTAAGCAAGTGGAAGCATTGATTTAGGTCTTCGACCCCTTTCGATTCATCTTTTCAACCCACCCAACAAGGGCACCGGCACCGGTTACCGAAGTATCAGAAAGGATCCTCCATTGAAGAGCAAGGTTTTTGGACCTCCTTTCAAGTTGGTATTCTTGAAGGCGTCTTCAAACACATTGATCTGAAACCTCATCCCCCTGGACCCTCACACGACCCACACAACAGTTGAAATTCACCAACCCTTTTCTCACTTGCCCAAAAGACCTGGAAATAAAAGGTTAACCTTTTGGAGCCGTGACTAAAAATGGACCAAAACTGGAAAATCAAAAGGTTAAAAGGTCGGCTTTGGGCAACTGAGTTTTTGTTGGGATTGGGACTTGGGCCAGGCAGCCGGCACAAGTTGAAGGAAATCCGTTGGACGGCATCTGCGCATCTGCTCGGGTGATTCGGATGCATGACTTTTGTCCAGCCCTTGGACAGCATTGACGTGGGGATTCAAACCCACCAACCCCTTTTGAGGTATGAACATTCATAGCCGGTTGGGTCATGCACAGAATGAGAAGGGCGGCCGCACTTCATTCTGTCTGGCCGCAAAAATAATCCGCCGGGTTTTGATTGCTCATTCCTTCTCTCGCCCCATCCTTCCAGAGACCCTATCCTGCAAAGGACTGTGCCTTTTCTTGCTGGCACCCCTGTTTTGGTTTTAAAGAACGGGACACCAAAAGGGAAATCCGAAGCCTTCCATTTTCTGTGGGCTGGGGTGTGGTCCAGGTAGAAGCTCCACAAAGCCACCGGGATTCGAAGGACGCGCTCGCCGAAATATGCCGAAGCCAAAGGCGCATCACCGCGCTGGGGAACTGGTCCTCGGGGTAGGTCGTGCGGGCTGACAGACCCTTGCACTGCTTCCACTCGTCCTGATCGCCAGAGAAAAAAACAAAAACAGCGCGACACAAATGCTGGGTAGACCCTCATACTATCCGGAGAAAAGAAAGGAATTCACCCACCACAAGGGGTTGGGTTGCTCGAGAAAAAACAGCACGACGCAGATGCCCAGACCGTCAGACGGCCCATAAAAACAGGGAATTCACCCACCAAAAGGGGTGGGTTGCCATAGCAGAGGTTTAGGGGATTTTGGAGGGGTTGAGGTGTTTTATATATGGGTGCGTCTTTTTTTGGCGGACACCCCCAAAATGGCTGGGGCTTTCCTTTTGGTTTCCCTGTTAAAGGCAAAAAGAGTATCGATGTTCTCTCCAGGTCTTTGAACAAATGTTGGCCCATTTCCCTCAAAATACCAACCCGCACCCGCAAACTACCCATAAAAAAGGGGGAATTCACCCCAACCCCAATACGGGAATCGTGAGGGTTCAGGGACCTTCGAAAAGAAGAAGAAAAACAACTTCCGATTGCAACGCAACATGGTGGTTAGTGACATATCCTAGGTCCTCCAGTAGAGAGGTTAGAATAAGTTGGCGCCCTCTTGTCTGTAGTCTATTTTTGTAGGGGCTTGCCCTCCCCAAAAAGAAGCGGGAAAAGTTGGCACCTCCCAAAGGGGCGAGAAGGGCATGTAGCCGGGCAAGGCAAGTCTTAGGGTCGCGTCTTCGGGTCCCCGCCTCCTATTGTTCGGGTCGCTTGAGATGGAAATAGACAACAACTTGCAGTCTCCAAGCCACCCACATCCTCCTCAACCCTCAAAACTCCAACTTAAAACTGGGTTAAATTGCAACCCCAAGTTATGGAATGGACCTGGACCCACTTCTTTCAGGGTACCTGAACACGAAAGAACTACCCAAAAAGAAGGGAAAATCCACCAATTCCATAATTGGGTTGCTATAACCCATTTTTAAGCTGGATTTTTGAGGGTTTAGGTATGATGTCAACCCTTTACTGAAAAAGGGATTGGTATTTGAACCGCTCGATTTTCCTCAAAAATACCCTTGGACCCTTCATTGGAGAGAGGTCGATTAGTAGGTAGGAGGTATATGGGATATTTGCCTTCATTTCATACCCTTCCAACAACGGCTATTTGGAGCTGACGGGGCTAGCGGGCAGCTCTTTCGGGTCCACCTGGACCCTCAAACTGCCCGCACAAAAAAGTGGACACCAATTCCCTCATTTGGGGTTGCAATTTCACCAATTTTTCAAGTTGGATTTTTGAGGGTTTAGGCATGTAATTACTATCGACCCTCCGGCCCCCAAGGTCGACCAGAAACGGAGTTCCTGGTGCTGGGAGGTGAGGAAGGAGTTCCGATCCTGGCCCTCCGGAACGTTCACCTAGCTCGGCTTGGCGGATGGAGCGGCGAGGCGGAGCCTTCCAAGCCAATGCACCATACCCTAGGGTTCAACTTGCCCCCCTTCAAAAGAAAGGCCCAAAAGAATCCAATTTGGAGGATGACAATCCTTATATAGGTAAACAGTGGTGGTGACATATGAGCACCCATTGTTTTTAATGGTGGTTTGAACCCCAGGGAACATATTCTGAATTTTACCTGACCTAAGGGTCCTGATTGATTTTGGGCACTCAAAATGGGCTATTCTCAAGGCTCTGGAGGGTCCAGGGGGCTGCATTGGAGGGGTCGTGACCCTTAGATTGGACCTTCAAACTGCCCCAAAAACGGAATTCACCCCATGATTTTGGGGGCTATAACGCGTGCCTGAGGGAATGTTGATCCTGAAGTATAACATACTCTTAGAGAAGACTCCCAGGAGCGGAAACAGCTCCATGTCCCGTGGTCTTGCGGGTCAGAGGGTGGGAGTTGCCCCTGGTCCACAGGTTTTGGAGATCCCAACAGCTTGACTTATCAGGAAGGTGTGGGAGGCCGCACCACCCCATGTTCAGCTTGGTTTTTTCAGCCCATGTCGTAGTGCAGAAAAGGTATTGACACATACCTAGATAGCCATAGCCAAGTTGCGATCGCTTTTTTCAGTCACTGTTGCTGGTTTTTGGGGTAAAGTGCATGAACAAAAAAAAGCAACTGGCGATCCAGGTAGGTGTCCTTTCAGGGGAAATAGATGCATATCCCTGGTAGATGATGAAAAAACACCAGGGTGTACCAGGAATCGCCATTGATTTTTCGAGCAAAACAACCCAAAAAGGACACCTATGATTGAAGTGGGGATTCAAACCCACCAACCCCTTTTGAGGTATGAACATTCATAGCCGGGATCATAATCACACCGCTACCAAAAATGCCTACCCCCCACTCCAAATACCCGCTTTTTTCAGGGTATGATGTCCACCCTCTACCAGAAAAGGGATCGGTATTTGCCATGGAAATCCAGGTTCTCCAAAAAATACCAACTGAACAAAGGCCGGGTATTTGGAGCTTGCGGGGGTACCCTATTGACCTTGACCGCCGATCCCCCCCCACATGTCGACAGCCCCCCTTTGCCCCGCTGGTCTGGGCTCAGCGGCGATGCACTGCGTGGTGATCTTCACAAAGACCCGCACCGCGCCCCAAGACTCCTCTCCGCGCGCGCGGAGAGCAAACGTCGCAGAGGTCGGATCCGTGGATCGAGTCGGACGCGGTGGATTTTGTCCGAGTGGATTTGGATCGAGTCTAAGTCACTTGGAGAAGAGGAGACCATGTGAAACTGCTGGTATCCTGAGGTGAGTGGACTGGGCGGCCCGTTTTCAGATCCCCGAAAAGTTTGACGAAGATGTTTGGTGGGCGAAATGGAAATCCACCCACTGAACACTAAAAGGCCAAGCCGAGGAGGATTTGGATCGAGAGCTGAGTCACTTAGAGAAGTGGAACCAAGTGGAACTGTAGGAGGTATCCTGAGGTCTCCTTCTGACCTTTCAAGCATGGGTTGCTAGGATCCTCAAACTACCCATACAAGAAAGGGAATTCACCAACCATCATCTTGGCTGGCTGTAATCCATTGTTAAGTGGGAATGTTGAAGGTTCAGGTGGAAAACTTGGGGTAACGTCCCCAAGTTTGACTCTGGTGATGGGGACTGGCATAGACAAATCATCAGCCTCCCACGGGTCGCAACAGCGGATAGAGAAACACCCCCCAAAAGGACAAAGAATTGTCGAACACTAACTCCTGCAATTTCAACCGTAAAAAAGGGGGTTCATAAAAATGGGGTTCATATTTCACCATCATCGTTTGCCTAAGGATTGTCATCATCCAAATTAGGTCAACCTTCTTTTAATGGGGGAACCCTCAACTTATCCTGAAAAAAGTGAGTGGCCGCAAAAAAATATGGTTGGCAACTCGCCCCATGTTTTTGCTGTGTGTGTGTGTGTGTTGAGGGTCCAGGGAGTTGGTAAGACAACCCTTCAGGTCCAAAGGAAACGCATAGGGGAAGTGGGGCTCATTGTCCGCCGAAGTGGGGCCCAGCATGCCCCAGCCACGGTCTTAAAACCAAGGTTCTAGCCGGACTTGTGGTCTCGGCGCGGCTTTGGTGGCCCGAGGTCTTGTGCTGTCCCAGGGACGGAACAGGTTAAACCTGTCATTTTGGCTCGGAGCTCAAAATTCTGGACTCGGAACTGGTGATTTTGGCCAAGTGAGCCAGCCCATTCCCCAATCCCCGGCCATTCCCCCAACCCCAAGCACCCGAGAAAAATGCGCGGGGAAAGGGCGCGCGCGTTTTTGCCGCGTGTGCCGGCGAATGGACCGGGTCCCGATGGTCCTGCCACATGTGCCAAAGGAAGTTGGGATCCTTCAGGAAGGGCGAGCCCTTCTCGACCTGAGTCTGGCAGCCGTATCTAACATGTTGTGTGCTGTGTATATGTATACTCCTACATGATATTTGACTAGCACATCTGCCAGAATTGCGCAAGACCGTTTCTAAAACAAATTCAAACACTTTCAGCAACCATATTGTGTCAACCTGAAAATGTGCACCAAGCATCAACTGGGACCTCAAATGGTCAAAAAGGCCCGCAACATGAGGTGCAAAGACCCATTTTATGGAGGTTCGGTTCGACCATTCACCAAACCACTTCAAGACAGAAGGGTGGCCCAATGTACGCTTAGGCCGTTGCCCCAAACTGCAATGGGCGTATGCCAAAATTGTAGCTAAACCGCTAGAATTCGTTAAATCGTGGGGTCTCCTAGAACACCCAGGAGTTCCCCGGAGTTTGAAGGTCCAGGATATATGTTTCAGGAGACCAGGCTAAAACATTGCCTTGGCAAGGTCATGGGCGCTTGTTGGACCAAATAATTTTCTAGGATTCCCTCTACCAACTTGCTGTATCCTGCCCCAGGTGACGTAAATTAAAACTTCCAACCCCTGGCCTTGAGTTATGAGTAGCCCTTGCCTCAGGTACCCTCCCACCAGCTAACATGGGTTTGTGCACCGACCCCTTGTAGAAAGACGACTTTCCTCTTGGTGAGTTGGCCTTTTTGCACTTCCATAATAGTTGGGGAGGGTATCCTGAGGTGATTTTGAGTCTTGCATCTGGTCGCCTTTTTTCCAGATGTAACGGAGGGGAGGGATTTTAGGTGGAAAGCAAATTTGCAGACCCGAACTATGAAAGCACTTGACCCCCTCAAAAACATCAACTCTCGGTTGGTTGAGATCCCGTGGACCAAGCTTCGCCGGAGACTTGCATTTGCTTAAGTCCACTGGAAAACATAGTCCTAGTTCCAGTAGTGATAGATAAAACCAACAGAGGAAAATAAAACATATTCTTAAGCAAATGGAAGGAACGCCGTCTGGGTCATGTTGGTCAACTGAAGTGACCAATCTTAGCCCAGCCCCGTGACCCTGAGAAAACACAACCTGGACCCTCAACATTCCTTTAAAAATAGGTGATCGCCAAAATTATGGTTGGTGAACTCCCTTTTTCTATGGATAGTTCTTTCAGGTCCGGGCACCTAACTTGACGAATCGACCACCCAAGTACCTCGCACCACTCCGGCTGAATTATTGGGGGAAATCCGGCCTCATAAACAACTAAAAAACCGATGCAAATGGCTCTTTTGTTCCCGTGAAGTAGTGGTTTGGATCGGATGATTGGGGCTTTGAATCCCCCTCTGCTTGTGCAGAGCGCAAACCCCCGCGCAAGCGCTTGACGGGGGGCTCCCTGCACCTTCAGCATGAAGTCCCGCATCCCGTGGCAAAGGTCGCCTCGGAAACTCGATCGCGCCTCCACGCCGTCTGAATTCCTCTACAACTCTTGGTGGCTGCAAGCAAAATCTTTTTTTGCAGCCCCCCAGTGAAAATGAACAGAATCAAACAAACCAAAAACACAAGGAACATCGTTTTTAGCAGGCCCCCCCCCCCCCCGTAAAAATGAAGAGAACCAAACGAAACAACCCCCCAGCAAAAACAAAGAGTTAACCAAAAGAACTAAAAGCATAAACACTTGCCAAGAACAGTGCAGGAATGCTTTGGCTGTGCCATGGAAACTGTCCGTGCGTTCCCCAGTTCAACAAAAGGACGCCTATGTTGGGGGGGTCCTAAAAATTGAGACAGACCTAAACGTGTTTCTGACACATAGGAATTCTGAAGCTCACAACCCCGCAATCTGGAAATACAAGGTGAAAAGGTTGATTCGCTTGCCGAGAAAAAGGCCGTCCACCGGAAACTAGCCATACAACGGAAAGTCACCTCACATTTGTTTGAAGCAATATCCATTTAGGGAATTGTAGCGGGTTCAGGAACCAAGAAACCAAAGGCACCAGACTGTCGCAACGCATCTTGGGCCTGAGAAATGCCCTTTTCTCAGGTCCGAAACCTTCTATTCGACCTCTCCAATGCAGGGTCCCATGATGCTTACCCCCCAATTACTCCAAATACCCATCAGGGATCCTTACATCATACACCTGAACATTGCCTTGTAAATGGTGGTGTCCTTTTATTTTGGTGGGAAAAGCCATGTTTCAAATGGGCAAAATGTATCTTTTAAGGAGCCCTGCCCATGAGTGTAAGTTTTTGTGTTTTTTTTTTTTTTTTACGACTGGTTTTCCAGCAAAATTTACAGCCTTCTGTAGGAAAGGGTTGACATCACCCCCCCGCCCTTCCACACCTGCCCCCCTTCCACAGTGGGTGCTGTTTCTCTACATGTTCCGCCTGAATCTGCAATCTTTTCTGCCTGCATGCAGCATTGCTGCTACAGTGTGCGGTGCAGACACGCAGACATAAACACACATCAACATAAACACACAAACACGCACAGACACAAACCCACACACTACCCACAAGCACTCGAGCACACAAACACATCAACGCGCGCACATAGGGGAGCTATAAGAGACAGCGAGGGCTGTTTTGTCGGGAAAACGGGTCGCACTTTAGCCTTGAAACGGCAGCTTTTCTTCCTGGACTGTGAATGCCCGACCCGGTCAGTTGATTGCGCTTGGCGGAGAGTGTTCCAATTGTCGGGTCACACATACATAATGGGGCAATGACACTCCCACGAGCGTGGCGGCAATTTCTGAAGAGGTAATGCACCAAAGCGAGTTACGTGCGTTTCTTATTCCCAAACAGCTGAAAGCGATGGGGTCTCTGCCCAGATAGGCTCCGGGTGGCGGCTCTGAGGTAAGGTTTTGCAGGGTTCGCGAGAATTCTGCAAGAGTTCTGCAAAAGCTCCGGGAGAGTTCTGCCTCTTCTCGAGGTTTTCAGCCCCAGGTCCCATCCAGCTGCTTCGGCCGTATTCTTATCTTTCTCTTCTCCTTCTCTTCTCGTCAGTGTTGCTTGCTTGCTTGCTTGCCTGCCTGCCTGCCTGCCTGCCTGCCTGCTTGCTTGCCTGCCTGCCTGCTTGCTTGCTTGCTTGCTTACTGGCAAAAACATGCGGATTTAGACGGACAAAAACGCGGTAATAATCATCTCACCCCTTCCACACCTGCCCCCCTGCCACACCTGCCCCCCTGCCACACCTGCCCCCCACCCACAACCCACAACCCCCCCCCCCCCCCACCGGGTTCTTCCTTCGTTCACCTCACGTCCGGACGTCCGCCCGCCCTCGCTCGCTTGCTCGCTCTCAGCTCGAGGGGCGCTGGAGGTCCTTCAGCGGCTGGGCCTCCGCGGCGTCCATGCGGTAGATGTAGTTCGCCAGGCCCAGGTGCTTGAAATCCCCGTACCTCGGAAGTTTGGGCGGAGGCGGATGCCTTTTTGTTTTCGTTGTTTGTGTGTGTGTGTGTGTGTGTGAAGTTGTTGTTTTTTTCTTTAAGTTGTTTTCTGCTTTTTTGCGGAGGGCGGGCGGATTTGTTTGGCCTGTTTTTTGAGGGAAGGAGGGAGGGGGTAACAAGAGAGATGTGGTTTCCGCTTTTTCGAGGCGGAGAGAGGGTAAATTAGCGGGTGCCTCTCGGATTTTTGCGGGAAAGGAGGGAGGGGGGCAAAAAAGCGGTGGATGGATACCGCGGATTTTGTGTTTGAGGGCGGGAAAGGAGGGAGCGGGGCAAAAAAGTGTTTTTTTTTTTAAGGAAGGTGGGGGAAAAAGCGATGGATGATGGTGGACGACCCTACCTCGATGAGGATGTTTGGGCCAGAATTTTGAGTAGGGACCCCGAAATGGCGGACATCAGATTTAGTTGGGGATACACCCAATCACTTTTCAGGGGCTTCCCCATGAAAAATCATAGCCATTTGTTGAGGCGAAAGGAGCGGGGAGGGAGTGGGCGGATTCACCAACCATAATTTGGGGGGCAATCGGATGGGGGGTTTGGAGGTTCCACCCTCAAGTTTCCTTCAAAAACGGAATGGCAACCCAAAAAAAAATGGTTGGTCAATTCCTTTTCGTTTTTATTGCTAACCCCCCCCCGAAACCAAGAACTAAGGTGAGCTTTGCGGACGCACCAAGAGGCCCGCGGTGGAAAAGAATCTGAGGTTTGACCTGTGCCCGAAAGAACTACCCCACGAAACAAAAGAAGTTGGAATTCACCAACCCTAAGGGTCATGACCCCTCCGATGCAGACCCTCCAATGGAAAACCCCGACCAATTCCTCCAGGGTTCTCAAGAACAACCCATTTTGAGGGCCCAGAATCTCAGAATCAATCAGGACCCTTAGACAACCATAATTTGGGGTCGAAAACCCATTTTGAAGACAGGGGTTTTCTTCGCCCAGAATACGCAGAGCAACATGGAGACGGGCTGATGAAACCCCCTGGCTGGGGATGAAGGGTTGACCCTAACCCAGCGGAGGTTACATTGCCCTGCCAAGTGGGAGTCCCCTTGATCCTAATGTTCAATTGTATCCATATGGGTATGGGTCAAAATTACAATGGGGACTGCAAATTTTAGTCTTTAGTTCCATTTACCTGTGTCCCTTTTTTAGTATCTACTGTTGACCCACAGCCATATTTGTTTGGGGAGTTGGGTTCATGTCTCCTTTTTCGGTTGGCCGTTGTTGCCTGAACCTGCCACCGAGAGGCTCGTTTTTGGGGGGAAGGTATTTCGGCTTGGCCCCCAGCTGAGTCATACTCTGAACCTGGTATTAGAATGGTATACCCAGAACCATGTAAAGAATTAAAGAGGCGAAGGCACCCAATGGCAAGGGGATTCATGTTGACCCCAAATTGATAAACCCATGTGTATTAATATGGGGGTGTTCTTAGTTTTGGTGGGGATTCAGACCACTTTTGGAGGGGAACACCCTCATATTAAGCAAGAGGGGGTTTGTACATTCATATGGGGTCAACGTTATCCCTTACTAACCTTCACCTGCTCCAATCGGTTTTGAGGATGTGGCTCGGCTTGTCTTAAGGAAGCTTAAGTTTGGGCCTTGGTTGCTGGAAAGGACTTAAAGGGGAAAGGATCTGCCTGGACCCGAAAGAACTACCCATGGAAAGGGAATTCACCAACAATGATTTTGGGAGCTGTGGGTCACTTCCCGAGTGGACTGACCAAAACCCCCCCCAAAAAAAAAACGGAAATGTATGGTGCCAGACCCCAGCAAGAACATGAACTCAAGAGGGCTTCGGCTTATGGAACACCTAGACTGAAGCATTGGACACACACACACACACACCGCTCCGCCACGGTCGGTGTCTCCAAATTGCTGGCCTTTGGGGGGCCCAGGCATCGAGGTGGAGCGAGGCTGTGGCTGAAACGACCACTGCAATACCGAATGGGCCTAGCCCCAAGACGAGCCCCCCAGAAAAAGGGGGAGATTCCCCAAAGTGTCACAGAAGTGGTTGGATGAATCCTTTGCTTCCACACCCTGAGTTGGAGCGTCTTGGAAAAAGTGATGGTCGGTGAATTCCCCTTGTACGGGGTTCCCTTCTCCGCTGCGAAAATGTTTTTTCCAGGAAAACCGTGAGAAAACTCTTCCGGAAACCCGAGTTGAAACCCTGGGAAACCCGAGCGGGAAATGAAGAAGAAGCCGGGTCCAGTTCGTTTTGACTCAGCCTCCTGGGATTGTTGCCTCAAATTGTTCCGACCCCAAGAAAGATCCTCCAATGCACCGACGCTCGAACAAAAATCCCGGCGAACCAGCCATTGTGCCGTAGTCAAAGCAGGAATTTGATCAATATTCCGTTCGGCCCCAAAACAACCATCTGGGTGAATTATAATATTTCACCAGCCTGAAATAAGGTGGTTTGGGGGGAGGTCGTGTGAGGTCGTTATAATTCACCCAGAACCATGGATGAAAGCAGATGTTCGTGTTTGGTGGTCTCCACCCAATAGTCTAGGGCTTGATTCCCCATTCTTTTCAACCATCATTATTTTCAGTAACCATCCCTTTTCGCTGGGATTCTGGAGGTTTTCCAAAAAGATTCGGATCCCGGGAAAGAATGCACATGGAAGGTACCCCTAGATATCGTCCCACCTCCGATGCTCCTCACTTCCCGACCCAGTTCAAAACCAAGTCGCTCTGCCCGGATAAGCTGCGCCTCTGTAAAGTTCACCTGCCAGCGGCAAATTGGATTCTCCGCTGGGTCCTTCCTCCAGTAGTTTGCGGTTTGAATAAGGGTACTGACTTTTTCTTCTGTAGTTGGTTTCTTTCGGGCCCCAAAGAGGAATTGGTCTGGTTGTCCATTGCAGGGTCCGGGGGTCTGCGTTGGAGGGATTATGACCCTTAGGTATAAACAAGCTGGAATTCAGCAACCATGATTTGGGGTTGCTATTTCATAATCAATTCTGGACTTGGAATTTTGAGGCTGCTGGTTGAAAAAGAAACCAAAAGGAAACCACCCGAACCCGCAAATTACTGCTTAAACCTGGTTGAATCCTCAGCATTCCAACTTCACAAAGATGTGCCCCAAGAATACACTTTTTTGAGGGTAGTTTGAGGGTCCAGGGCGATTGCCCCAACATTCTGGGGTTTTGAAACCAAATGACACTCCAAGGAACTCAACATAAAAGGTAATCATCTTTTGGAACCTGGCCCGGTGATTCAAGTCACCACCTAGGTCCTCCAGTAGTTTGAGGTTAGAATAAGGGTACCCGAGAATTATTTTTCTGGAGTCTATGTTGGTAGGCCCCAAAAAAGGATAAAAGGGCACTACTGGGGGACCTAGATAAGAGGAGGTACCGCCACCCATACAAAAAGAAAGGACTTCCTGGAATTCACCAACCACAACTCTGGGGCGATAGGGCGACAACTCACTTTCTCAAACCACCCCTAAAATCGGTCACTCACCTCAAAATGTGTTGGTGGGCCCTTGAAAAAGGACCTTCACCTCATAATGTTGGGGCTGCAACCTATTTTTATGGGAAGTTTGGCCCTCAGAATGGGTTGTTTCTCTCCGGCCCCAAATCGGAGTTGGTCGCTTTGGGTTCTCCATTGCAGGGTCCGGGGGTCTGCATTGGAGGGACTATGAGTCTTAAGTATAAACAAGCCTGGAGTTCACCAACCATAACTTTGGGTTGCCAAAGCCCAAGTTCTGAGGGTTCAGAGAGGTTATAACCAAGGTTATAACTGGCATAGCTGGGGATAGTTGCTCTGGGGTTCAGGTAGGCCACCATTAAAACGGCTCCCTTCATATAGCAGCCATTGTTTACCTTAGGATTGTCATCCAGATTGGGTCCCCTTGGTTGCCATTCCTTTACTCGGTTGTTTTCTGCTCCCCTGCTCAACTTCTAGTGGTTCAAGACGGAAAACCCATTCGTTGGCAAAAAGTTCTTCAGTTCTAACATCCCTTGGCAAAATGCACCAAAGAAATAAGCCCTGAAGATTGGACACTGATGGGGTAGCTTCTGTGTAGTTTGGGGGTAAATTGTGTGGGCAAACCGGGGGTTGTGTTGCGGTTTACAGGGGGCAAGGAACCAAAACCCCTTGGCAAAATGCACCAAGGTTTAATGCAACCATCGTTTACCTCAGGATTGTCATCCAGATTGGGTTCCCTTGGTTGCCATTCAATTTTTATGGGGGCGTTTGGGACCAGGACAACAAGACCAATTCAGACCAATCCCTCGTTTTCTTGGAGTTGCCAGACGTCCATCATGTATTCTCACGCCCAGGCCTCTCCCTTTCAACTCGTCCCCTTGGAGTTGCCATGCCTTTGATGGGGGCGGGCAAGAAACCAAACAAGGACCACTCCCTCCAATCGCTCGAGTCGAGGCGCCTTGTTGGAGGCCTCGGTCAAGTGCTCGCCCAAGGTCCTCGCGGCACGCCGAGACGCCGCGACCCGGATGGGACCCGGAAATATGACAAGGTCCTCCAGTAGAGGTTAGAACTGACAAGGCGTTGAACGTGTTTGAACCTTCGAAATTCCAACTTCACAATGAGACATGCCCCAAGAATACACTTTTTTGAGGGTAGTTTGAGGGTCCAGGGCGATTGCCCCAACATTCTGGGGTTTTGAAACCAAATGACACTCCAAGGAACTCAACATAAAAGGTAATCATCTTTTGGAACCCGGCCCGGTGATTCAAGTCACCACCTAGGTCCTCCAGTAGTTTGAGGTTAGAATAAGGGTACCCGAGAATTATTTTTCTGGAGTCTATGTTGGTAGGCCCCAAAAAAGGGTAAAAGGGCACTACTGGGGGACCTAGATAAGAGGAGGTACCGCCACCCATACAAAAAGAAAGGACTTCCTGGAATTCACCAACCACAACTCTGGGGCGATCGGGCGACAACTCACTTTTCTCAAAACACCCCTAAAATCGGTCACTCACCTATACAAATCAGTCTCGCCCTTAAAACAAATGGTGTGAAGTCCCTGGTTCAAGGGTGGTAATTTCGGGTCCAGGCGATCGATCACCTTTTGGGGCCTTCACTCTAAGCGCGGTTGCCAAGAAGAGAAACCCAAAAGGTAAACACCAGGTCGGCCAGTGAGCCCTCAGAACATTTGGCAGTGGCTCAAAAACATGGTACAAAATGGGTTGCCCTGGTAAGTGGAAACATGGACCAAAACCTGCCTAACCCCTGCTGTTGGAATTTTGCGCCACACCCAATTTGAGGGTCGGCGAGTTCCTTTCGTCTGAATTGTTTGAAGGTCCAGGTAACTCGCCAAGGGCCCTTGAGTTGGGGTCTGGTTGGAGGCAAGTGAGCTCTCACGGCTTCCTTTTCAGTGGTCCAACGCCAAAAACCAATGGGGGCCCTTCAATGGAGAAGGTCCTTTCTGCTGCTTCGGGTGGACATATTGTTGGACTTTTGAACCAAAGATCGATTCGCGCGCCAGGAATTTGGGGTGCGTGACTCTTCCATGGAATCTGCAAACTTACCGTGGGATTGTTCGATGTTCAACCTTACCGACCACTTCTAATCATGCTTGTTTTTACTTACTTGGCGTAGGTACATCCAAGTTTATCTACCCCACTTCGGGAATGTAGCCAGGGGCATTCCTATTACCATGGAGGACTTACAAGGCTGAGGTCATAGAATTTGACTATGGCCGTGCCAATGCCCACAAGCTGGGAGCTGACGGGTTTCTTCCTTGTGATTCCAGTGATGGAGCCCAAAATCCTTCTGCTACATCCAACGGTTTTCCCCGTTTTTTTGTGTGGGGGGCAAGCTAACCGCCAGCTGGGGGTACAACGAGCGAAACGAAGCCGGTGCTTTCAACCTTGGCCTGGGGATCCGAGGCCTACTGATGTGTTCTGGGAATCCGTTCGCACCGCTTTGAAACCAAGCGAATCCACTGTTTGCTGGTATTTGCATGGGAATCGAATCAGAAACCGTTGGGTTTCTTAGGTGGCAACCAAAAAAGGGGCTGGACAACTCTGCTCAAGATTAAATGACCAGGATGCAGGTTTTAGTTCCTGTTTCTGTCCAGGGCTCCATTTTGGGCACCTATGTTTGACCCACACCCGTGTGTAGGGGGTGGGGGGTTTCCGCGAGAAAGAGTTCATGAGGGACTTCTTAAGGGCCCTTGAGTTGGGGTTAACGATTGGAGGGCCCGAATGAAGGCTAACCACCGAACCCCCCCCCCCTCGCAAACAAAAAAGAACCCACACACACACACCAGCTTAACTAAGGGTTACGGTGCAACACAACGTGCTAAGACACCCCCCAAAACAATCTACGACTTGGCTTATCTTGGACTCGACATGTTGCTGTAGCGACCCCCTCTGCTGCAAGACTAAGTGAACAACTTCTTGTGGGTCCACTAAAAAAAACCGACCAGTCTCAACTGGTATAAGTTAAAGTCCCAAGACCCGCTACCAAATAGCCATAGAGTTAAAAAACAACAAAAAAAAACTTGATTTCCATCAAAAAGTGAAGTTTAAAGATCCAGCCCAGCAATCAAGGAGGCTCCAGAACCTTGGCAACCCCTCAAAAGCAAAGGCTTTCAAAGGGTTTCCTTCGGACCGTCGGGCCTCGGGTCCCGGGGCCTTCTAGCTTCACTTGGGCGTGCCTGGAAATTGCCAAGTGAGTCATTATCAAACCCCGGTACTAAAATGGTCCCAGAGACATGTTGAGGCGGATATCCGCAGCTACTTCTGGTTGGGATTGTCCCTAACCTTCAGCTACCCGGGTTTTGACTGTGGCTCAAGTTGCGATCGCTTTTTTCAGTCACTGTTGCGATCGATCGGTTTTTGGGGGTTTGGTAAAGTGCATGCAAAGAAAAGAGCGCTCGCTGGCGGTCCAGGTGTGTATTTTAGGATGTCCCCATGAGTCTCATTCTAGGATTTCCCTTTAAACTCCACACGCCCACTCCGGAAAAGGACGAGCCACCCATATCTGCGGCGGGATTCATTCTGGAAAACCGTTTTCGTTTGTAGACATGCCAACAAGGCTGTGGGTCAAAAATAGGGTAACCCCAAAATGGAACCCTGTAAATGGAAACATGGACTAAACCCTGCGGTCCCCGAGTGGTTTCACTTTCACCCACACCCACAACGCAAAATCCGTCAACCCATGGGACAACCCTTCATTTTCGGGCAACCCAAATCTGAAGGAATTTTTCAGGGACCAGGCGGGTCTTCGGAGACCGGGGTGAAGCTGCCAGGTCCCCTTCCCTAGAAAACGGATTCGGACACATTTTTGTTGACGCATTTCACCAGTCCCTCCCCCTGCTGGTCCTTGTTGAGTCATCTTTTAGTACCAAATCTCATCTTCTACAGGGCTCTTCCCCTTTTTTCTTTCTTAGTCAAATCATTTTAAGGTACCCGACGGTCCTCCTCATTTTTTGGGCTGGACGCGGAATTGCCACCTCCAACAAACTTTCTCTCGACCCTTCGGAGGTCCCTCCCCCCTCATGTTCAGCGACATTGGAAAAAAATGGAACCCTTTTTGGGGTCTTGACCATTTTTAGTTTTTGGCAGCCACCAAAAAAAAGATGGAGAAAGAAAAAGAATTGGTGCCACTGAACAACTGAGCCCTTTCCGCCCTCCCCCCCCCCGGGTCTTCGCGAAGCGCTGGTCGCTGGACACACGGTGCCCCAGAGAGCCCACGTGGTCCTTCACCTCGGCGAATCAAAAACCGCTGGCGAATCGAAGGCCGGCCAAACACCTGGGACCTGGACTTAAAGTACCCCCTCTGAACCCAAAAAATGGACGCATAAGTTATTCAAAGGCTTGGGGTACAGGAAATTCTGCAGGAAAACAGCAAACACTTGCCCCAAAATTGTGGGGCTATACCCATGTTTATGAAACTTTCAAGTAGGTTTTATGTGGGATATAGCCAATCTACCCTAGTCTGACCCTTCAAACTACGCATGAAGCGAACTCACCGACCATCATTTGGCGCCTTGAACATGGGTTGCCCCAACATGGTGGGGCTATAATCCATGCGTAAAGGAAAATGTCGCGGGATCAGGCAGGCCTGGTTTCAACTAGGGCCAAGGGTACAACTGGTTGGTAGCTGGGGATAGTTGGCTATCCGGACCAACCAACATAAACAGGGGGTGTTGCAACGCAACATGATGGGGTGTCTTCCCTTTCTAAGGGTAGTTTGGCACCTTGTTGACACCTTTACTACAAGTGGACTGACCAAAAAGGGAGGGGATTCTGTTCCACATTTCGGCAACCTCAAACTATGTTTGGGTAGATTGCCCCGTGCACACAATGCCTTTGTTTTTTCTTAAGGGTATGATGTCAACACAAAAACCCTCAAACATGCCGACCCCAGTTTTGAAGGGGCACAAGGAGATTTCAGGCTCATGCCCTAAGCATCATTGGACCCTTCATTCAATCTTCCATGTTTAGATGTTGGACCTAGAAACGGGTGCATGGCTGCAGTTGAAATTCCGACCATTTTGGTCCCCTGACCCTCAAACCCGTCAAACAAAGTGGAACGCCACCAAGCCTAGTGTCAAACGGTTCATCAAGAAGGCCCTTTTGGGGGGGGAGGGGGCGAATTCAGATTTGGGGCCCGGAGGAAAGCCGTTTGCTTTTTGAGGCTCCAAAAGAAGTCGAATCGGACCCGTACGGATGCTGTTGTTTGGTTGAAGATTTCGGGAACCTGGGGAATCCCAGAGAAATATTTGATTTTAGGTTTCCCTTTAAAGCACCCCAACAAAAGGGTTCACACACTCATACCTTGACCCTCAAACTACCCGTGAGCGTTGGAATCACCATGGGGTTCCAACCAGGGGGTTCATATAACCACCATTGTTTACCTGAAGATTGTCATCATCCAAATTGGGTCAACCATTCCTTTAATAGGGGTTGAACCTTAGGGATAACCCACGTTTAAGTTTGTATTTTGAGGATCCATGGGAGCACCACCCCCCTCATTTCCTAGACGGCTTTTCAGCAGACTTGAAACCCTGAATTGGTGCTTTGATAGGTGGTTTGGCTTTGGATTTGAACTCCTGGCTTTGTAAAGGGTCCACGGGTTTCACCCCTCCCTTTCACCACCAAACCAGCCGGCTCCAAACCACCAAATAGATGGAACCCAATTGAAAGCTCTTCCCCAACACAAGGCTCGTCTCAGCCACAAGACTTGAAACTTGAAACCAGGCCTCCGACTCCTTCAACCAGTGGAAGAAACAACCTGGATAGCCAAGTTGCGATCGCTTGTTTTACCAGTCACTGTAACGCAATCATTTTTTGGGGCTTTGAGTGCATGGAAGAAAAAAAGGAACGATCGCAACTGGCGATAAAGGAAAACAAAACAAAAACAAAAACTTCCCTGCCGAGGGGCGTGGTGGCGGAAGGCCGCGAGCACGGAGCCAAGGTCCTGGAGACCCGAAAACGGACTCTGGAGGTTTTGGGGTTTTGACCCCCGAGTGATTCTCCTTGGGTATTGCGTGGGAGACTCCAGAACTCCAGATGTGCAGCTGACAATCGGAAGGGTGACGAACGAGCCGAGTGTGACACATCGAGGCAGATTTGGCCATGGGCTGTTCAAAATCCAAGGCCCGTTCCAGTGAACATCAACCAATCCAACCACAAAATAGGCTCTAAAATGGGTGGTGAATTCACCTAGCCCAAAATGGTACCATTGGTTTTGACCCACAGCCATTTGTAAAAGAAAACAGGCTCAAATTTGGCCGTGAGCGAAGCATCTTAGCAGAAGATGATGTAATGGTGAATTTGTCTTGGATGTGAGATTCGGCAAGTTCAGTGGCCAATGCCACCTGGGATAAAACACGCGAATGACTGGGTGAACCCCACTTAAGGAGGCTGAACAAAGTGGGTCATAACCTATGCTACGGAGGAGGGTGCGGTTTTTGTCGGGGGTCTACCTGGAGTCTCGTTCTGGCACGAATCAACCATGTAGCCACGACCTCTACCCACAACTAAAGGGTCATGGCTAACATTGTTTGATTCGGGTCAGGAGACTCCATGTCAGAGCTGCCGTTCTCTAAAAGCTTTAAGCACTTTTAGTGGGTGAAAATACCACTAAACCAACCAAAAGGATCTAAACAGACTTTTCTGAAACCGGATGGCCTTTTGGAGCCCATGAGGTGGGGAGTCTCCTTCTCGTCCGAATCAAACATGTAGCCCTGACCCCTTTCGTTTGGTATAGTCTGACTCCAGTTTCAAGTCATGGAGACTCTAGGGGTCAATCGAGTCAATGGCAACTTGGGTCGAAATTCGAATCCATCACCTCACCTTGCTACTTCTAAGCAGGGAATGCGGAGAATCCATCCAAAAGTGAGCCATTCCTTTGGCGGTTCTCTGGAAAAACCTTAGGTTGATTCCCACTCCACACTCCATCTATGGTAACTTACCTGGACATGTAGCCATGATCCCTTTATGTTAGGAAATCTGACCCCAGTGTCAAGTCGTTCCTTTAAGGAAAAACCCTACCTGGATCGCCAGTTGCGATCGCTTTTTTCCCTCCACTTTACCATCCAAAAACCAGTAACAGTGACTTTTAAAAAAGCGATGGGGAACTTGGCTATCCAGGTAGCTTCATTCCCACTCCACACTCCAGACTCGGGGTCCATGGCACTCCACTCGACTCTCACAGCTGACGCGCGCCTCCCACAGCAGGCGCTTGCCCAGAGAGGTCAGCAGCAGCCAGCCCTCCTGCACCGGGATGAACTTCTTGGCGGTCCTCGGATCCCATCCCATCCGATCCCCTCGCTTGCACCCAAAAACCTGCCCGGACCTGAAGAAACGACCCCAGAAAAACGGGGAAAATCCACCAACTCCATAACTTTTGGGTTGCAATAACCAATGTTCAAGGGAATTTCGAGGGTTCAGGTGGGTCCCCTTGAATTTTGGAGCTTGAACAAAAAGTTCAACTTAAACATGGTGAGTTGCAACCCAAAATGATGGAAATCGGTGAATTCCTTTTCTTTCCAACAGATAGTTTGAGGATTGGTGGTTTCCCTTTACCACTGGGGTGACTTTGGTGGTGAAATGGGCCAACCTAATTTTGGGCTGCAACTCACCAAGATCCAAGGTACCTTTCCTCGGACCCTTGAAAAAAAGGGGGGTCAGACTACCCAAAACAAAGAGGTCACGGCAGCCCCATGTTTTGATTCGCCTGTAAAATGAGGTCTTTACGAGGGTCATGACAACCCATTCTTTGGGCTGGAGACTCCAGGGCACTTCAAAACGGCTGTGGCATATCCTTTGTGCCTTGTGATGCTGGCCCTCACCCCCCATGCGGGGGTGACGTCGCAACCCTGAAATGTGGCGTGAAGCTGGCAATTTAATGGATGAAAGACTTACCTGGGTTCCTCCCAACTTGCAACCAGTTGCCTTCTCCCAGCGAACCCTTGGACACTCCATGCTCATACGTCCTCAGGAAAAAATGGCCATATTTCCAGCAGTGACCAATTCCCTTTTAAAACCAACCACCATACCACACCCTGAGCTGCTGGGAGTGTCGAAAGGTCATCTGGAGCCCAAATTCCAAAACCCTTAGGGCTATACTTTATTTCAGCAAAAGGTGACGGTTGTTTGTGATGGTACCCCTTCGTGGCTTTCCAGGGTCCAAGAGGAAAACGAACCACTCATGCTAAGTGTTTGCTTGTGTTGGGGCCGGGGGTCTCCCTAAAAGAGACACGCCTTCAATCGGAAGCAACAAACCCGAGGTCTTGACTGAATCCGCAAAAAAAACTCTTGCTGGTGCGATGGGGAATGACCGAGACCGGGAGTTGGATACGGATGTGCCCTTTCTTTGGTTTGGGATTCCCGAATGCAGAACACATACTACCACCAGACTGGTGGATTCTGTTTTTCGTTGGGCAGGAAAAATAAAGCACCACCCCTGGCTTTTCTCGGGGGTCCTTCCATTTCTCCGAAACTCCCTGAGCGCGCCCAAGCGATCGCAAGAGCGCGCAAAAAAAAGCAGAGGCCCCCGGCTCTTCCAGGAAGCACTCCTACGAAAAGCTCTCTCTGGAAGGCCACCCCAAGACTTAGATGAAGCTACTTGAAGCTACTTGGATGTGAGTTAGGTGCTTTGCCACCTGGGTCCCAGGTCCTCCACATTTGAGAGGCTAGGGTTTAGGGTACCAACTTTTTGCTGTCTATTTTAGGGAAACCCTCCCCCAAAAAAGAAACGGTAAAAGGACAGGGGACCTAGGGGTTATAACCTAACAAGGTGAAACTCCACTTGGGGGGACTAACAGTTATTTACCCGATTTTGATAGGCAACCTCATAGTCGCTTTCTGTTAGTCCCCATAGTCCCCCCCAAGTCACAACCTCATAGTCAACCTCATAGTTCTTTAACTAGGTTATCAACTAACTGGCCAAACACCCAAGCCCGAATCATACATACCTGCCTGGACCCTAAAGAACTACCGTTACAAAATGAGATTTCACCAACCATAGTGCTGAGTTGCAATAACCAGGTGTTAAGGGAATTGTGTTTTCAGGCGCACCCGAACGAACTACCCTCAAAAAAGAATGGGAATTCACCAACCCATCTATTTAACCCATGAAGTTGGAATTTTGAGGGTTCAGGTCGGTCATAACCAAGCAAACTGGTTGGCAACTACCTGGAGTCTCCACGACCCCTAGCAAAAGAAAGGGGCCATGACCCCTTAATTTTTGCGTTTTTAAAGGGTCATGGAAACTCCAGGTAGAACCATTTTTTAGATGGAGTTATGGTATTGCCTGCCACGAAGGACCAATGAACTTTCCGCCTTTGACGCCTTCTTGCAAAAGGACTTGGGCCATGATTGTGGAAAAGGTATTAGTGTGAGTGCCACTTTTGTGGTAAGGCAATTCCCTTGAAAGTGATATACAGTAGTTCTGGGGATGGGAATCCCACTTTGGTATCACAGAGTTCGGCCTTTTTCCGCAGACATGTTTCATGATCGTGACAGGATGTATGTACCTGGACCCTCAAACTACCCACAAAGAAGGGACAACAAAAGATCCAGATATCAGCTGCCTCCAATAAAGGATTCGCATTGTATACACAAGATCCTTGCTGAAGCAGCTCTCAAGATACTTTCCAACGACCCCGGATGAAGATAAAAGTGCAACGCCTCCAGCCTGATCAGCACAAGCACCTCCAACCAGAGAGGTCAAACAACACGAGCCACGAGCCACGAGCCACGGGATTCGACCCAACCCGCGGCACGCAGCTTTCCCTCGAGCCAAACGGCTAGGGCCTCGCAGGCCCCGTGACACGGCGATTCCCTGGGTCTGTGAATGCAGAGGCATGTGCACTGAATGGCACTGGGGTTCGATGTTATTCTTCTCTACCCATAAGGAAGGGAGTTCGCTCAGGATGTTGGGGCGAGAACCCATGTTTTTCAGGGAATTCCGAGGGCCCACGGAATGATGTTGCCCCTCAAAGGGTCATTCCAACTTACTGACACTGAGAACCGATCGCAAAATGTTCAGGGGAACAGTGAGGTACGACCTGATCCAATCCACGAATCGCACCTACCTGAATTTGTCTGTTTTCAGGGTACCCAAATGGTGGATGTTTCCTTTTAGGGCTTGCCGCTTTTTTGCCCTGACCGCTTGGGACCCCTTGAAAAGGGCCTAGGACTCACTTCCCGTGGGCCCTGAAGGTCCAACCGGTAAGTCACGCACTGGAGGAGAACTCCCCGGTCGCAGCCAAAAAATGAATCGCCTGGAACCTGGGTGTATGGATCGTCCACAAGACCCAGGTGCAAGTCACCTCTAAGGGAATTTCTTCTTGCAAGCCCCAGCTTGGAATCTGTATGGGAAGCCAGTTGGGTAGGTTGAGAGCCCCCACCCCCCCCCCCAGGGCTTCCTGGTTGATGCCGGTCTGCAACACATCCGCCTCGGCCTCCGTCTCTTCCACATCCCCGCCCTCAGCAAAAGGACGCCGGAGGAGGGGAGACCGTAGGGGTTTGGCCACCACCGGCCCCGAAAAGCCTCTTGGGGTTGCACGGGTTTGGGTCGACGCGTTCAAGCATGTTAATATGCCTTGAGCCTGGATCGCCAGGTGTCGCTTTTTCCCGTGCCCTTTACCCCAAAAACCAGCAGTGACTGAAAAAGCTCTTTCGCAACTTGGCCAAGGTGAGTATTTCATATGCATCTTGGGCCCCAAGCTTGAGGCAAAGGGATCGCTTCCAACGGCAATCGAGGCTGTCAGGTTGGCAGCTTCAAAACCAGTGGGATCGGATGGTGAAAAAGATCTGACTAGGGAGATACCAAAAAAAAAACGCCCACCCTAAGCATCTGAAACCTCGGAAAAAGAACCCTCCTCGAGGTCCAAAACCTTCCAATACAGCGTCTTAAACCCAACGGAGGGTCCAATGATGGGCCAAGTGGTATTCCCAGCAGCACCTGAATCTCCGTCACTCTCTGAAAGTTGCCCCAAACTCCAGTCCCAAAGGCGATTGGCCTATCGACCCCATGCTTTTCAACTGTGGGAGAAAAACAACAGCGGTGGCTACCCATTCCCGGGGTGTTCCGGCCTGGTGTTCCGTTGGCTTGGACCCTCAAAATACCTGGTTTCCTTGCCTTTCCTTGCTGGTGCGATAGGTAGGGAATGTGGGAATGAACCCAATTCCTGAATAAAGGAAGCCACCTGGATCGCCAGTTGCTGTTCTTTTCAATGCACTCAAAACCCCAAAACCGATCGCAACTGTAACTGAAAAAAACGATCGCAAGTTGGCTATCGAGGCTATCTAGGCAAGGGATGGTTTTCTAGGTCCTCAGTAGAGAGGTTAGAAGAAGGCTACCTTTTTTTTGTCTTTTTTCGGTAGTCTATGTTAGGGGAACCCTCCAAACCAAAAAAGAAACGGCAAAAGGGCACCTAGCTGGGGGACCTAGGGGTTATAACCTAACAAGGTTAACTCCGCTTGGGACTGAAAAGCGGGTAAGAAGCTAGGTCACCAACAACTTACCTGCCAAACACCCAAGCACCAGGGATGGTCTTTCTCGGGGTTAGTGGATCGAGACAAAAAAACAAGACGGAGCCAGGGGCGCCCAAAAAACAAGAGTCTAACCAGCTTTCCGGGAGAAGAGAGTATTGAGAGACTGTCCACCCGAGCACCGACATAGGCGGCCTTTTGGAAAAATAGATGGGTTTCCCTGGCAAATGAAACAAACCCCTTCTAAACCAGTGGGACCCATCCATTTTTAACCAGGCTCACCGATCAAAAGGACACCTATGAGCACCGGATCGGATTCCTCCGTAGCTCGTGCCGAGGCGCCACGAAGTTCCGCTGCGTGGTGGGCGCCTCCGTAGGTGCTTCGGTGGTCGCCTCAACGCTCAGATCGGCTTCGAGGCCGCAGATATGGGTCGCCCCTCGAAAAAAAAAAAAAAAAAAAAAAAAAAAAAAAAAAAAACCAATGGGATCCCATTTTGGAAATGGTAGGTGAATTCACCACCCATTTTGGAACCTATTTTAGTGGTGGGATTGGTTGATGTTGAATTCACCACCCATTTTAGTCTAATTATAATAGTAGGGATTGGGATGTTCACGGTACTGGATTTTGACCCATGGCCAAATTCCGCCTGGACCCACCAAGTTCCACCCTATAGATCGCCAAGTTGCGATCGCTTTTTCAGACACTGTGGCGATCGGTTTTTGGAGTTTTTGAGTGCATGGAAAAAGAAAAGCAACTGGCGATCCAGGCAACTGAAACCATGCCTAGAAAAAGGACGGGAGACGAGGGGTTTGGCCGGAAGAAGGGGGGGAATTGGGAATTCCACAAACGGCCCGAAAAGCATCTTGGGGTTAGACGGGTTTGGTGCGAGTTGTTTCACTAATTAATATGGTTTGAGCCTGGATCGCCAGGTGCGATCGCTTTTGTTTGCCTCTTTTTTTAGCATGCAAAACCCCCAAAACCAGCGTTGCAGTGACTGAAAAAAGCGATCGCAACTTGGCTATCTAGGCGGGTTGTAGGTGGGAAAAAGGCTGAAACATGCATCGCCCTCAAGATACCAGGTGACCAACTGAAACATGGGCTGTATATGTGACATCCGCTCCTCCTTCCCTTTGGACATATGGCTAGTTTGAGGGTCCAGGCATCCATTTACTCAAGATACCAACTGGCTGTGGGTCAAAACTAGGTACCCAAGATGGAATCTCGGCAAATGGAAACATGGACGATTTAACCTTCCTGG